ATGGCACATCAACGTCTAATGGTGTTCAATAGTTTATGTCGCATCAACGTCTTTTGTTGTTCTATAGCTGATTTCAAATCAATGTTTAATGTTGTTCTGTAGTTGATGTCAAATCAATGTTTAATGGTTTTCTATAGTTTATGTCACACCAACGTCTAATGGTGATCTATAGCTGATGTCACATCAACGTCTTTTGTTGTTCTATAGCTGATTTCAAATCAATGTTTAATGTTGTTCTGTAGTTGATGTCAAATCAATGTTTAATGGTGTTCGGTAGTTGATGTCAAATCAATGTTTAATGGTGTTATATAGTTTATGTAACATCAACGTCTTTTGTTGTTCTATAGCTGATGTCACATCAACGTCTAAAAGTGTTTTATAGTTGATGTCACCTCAACGTCTAATGGTGTTCTATAGTTGATGTAAAAATCAATGTTTAATGGTGTTCTATAGTTAATGTCACATCAACGTCTAAAAGTGTTTTATAGTTGATGTCACCTCAACGTCTAATGGTGTTTTATAGTTGATGTCACCTCAACGTCTAATGGTGATCTTTTGCTGATGTCGCATCAACGTCTAATGTTGTTCTATAGTTGATGTCACATCAATGTCTAATGGTGTTATATAGCTGATGTCACCTCAACGTCTAATGGTGTTCTATAGTTGATGTCACATCAACGTTTCATACTGTTCTATAGCTGATGTCACATCATTGTCTAATGGTGTTCTTTTGTTGATGTCACACAAATGTCTAATGGTGTTATAAAGTTGATGTCACTTTAGCGTCTTATGGTGTTGTGACATCAATGTCTAATGGTGTTCTATAGTTGATGTCACATCAACTTCTAATGGTGTTCTATGATTAATGTCACATCAACGTCTTATGGTGTTCTTTTGTTGATGTCACATTAATGTCTAATGGTGTTCTATAGCTGATGTGACATCAACGTTTAATAGTGATCGAAAGTTAATGTCAAATCAGAGTATTATTTCTATGAAAGTTGGTGTCACCTCAACGTCTAATGGTGTTCTATACTTGATGTCATATCAACATTTAATGGTGTTCAATAGCTGATGTCACATCAACGTCTAATGGCGTTCTATACTGATGTCACATCAGCATTAGATGGTGTTATATAGTTGATATCAAATGGCGTCTAACGCCTAACACTTGTTGGAAATCTTACATGGTTTTACAAAATTTGCTAGCGTAGGTCACATGTTCCCAATATGAACAAGAGGCCGGCTGAATCGCTAACCTGGTATTAATCTCACACTTGTAATCTTGAAAGTGGACTAAAATACAGCTACAGGCAGAATATCAGTGTTTGATTCATAAGAACCTATTTAAAGATTTAAACATATGACGCCTGTGACCTTGAATGTCGAATAAGGACATTAGGTTGAACAGAGTTTAAATTTCCAGCCAAGCATGCTTTTGGCAAAATATCATAACCCTGGACCTATTGGTTATACAGAACAAGTCATTTAAAGATTTGAACATATATTGACCACTGTGACCTTGAATATGGGCGAAGGTCATTCATTTTGATAAAATTGGTAGCCCTTCTTGCCACCCTGTTAATGACCAAATATCATCACCCTTGTCCTTTGGTTAATTTAGAAGAAGTCGTTTAAAGGTTTAAAACATAATTGACCCCTGTGACCTTGAATATATGTAAAGGTCATTCATTTGAACAAACTTGATAACCCTTTATCCCAGCATGCAACTGGCCAAATATCATTATCCTAGGCCTCTTGGTTATTCAGAAGAAGTTGTATAAAAGTTTTAAACATATTTGACCCCAGTGACCTTGAATATAAGTAAAGATCGTCCATTTGAATAAACTTGGTTGCCCTTTATCTCAGCATGCTACTGGCCAAGTATCATCATCCTCAGACGTTCGGTTATTGAGAAGAAGTTGTTTAAAGGTTTTAAACATACTTGACCCCCTCTGACCTTGAAAATAAGTAAAGGTCATTCATTTGAACAAACTTGGTAGCCCTTCATCCTGGCATGTTACTGGCCAAATATCATTATCCTAGGCTTCTTAATTATTCAGTAGAAGTTGTTTAAAAATTTGTTAAGACAATTGACCCCTGTGACCTTGAAAATGGACGAAGGTCATTCATTTGAACAAATTTGGTAGCCCTTAATCACAGCATGCTACTGGCCAAATATCGTAACCCTATGCCTCTTAGTTATTCAAAAGCAGTTGTTTAAAGGTTTTTAACATATTTGACCCCTGTGACCTTGAAAATAAGTCAAGGTCATTCATTTGAACAAACTAGGTAGCCCTTTATGCCAGCATGCTACTGGCCAAATACCTTAACTCTAGGCCTCTTAGCTATTCCCTTCGGGCCAGGTGAGCTAAAAATGTTCAGTGTATATTTTATTGGGAAAACATTGCTAGTATAACAAGCTTTTACAAAATATCTACAGAACAATGATGGCAATAAAAGGTTGTTATAGTGTTCAGCAGAGAAGTGCGGGCCATAGTAACAGGTTACCTGTGCGGGCCATAGTAACAGGTTACCTGTGCGGGACATAGTAACAGGTAACCTGTGCGGGCAATAGTAACAGGTTACCTGTGCGGGCAATAGTTACAGGTTACCTGGGCGGGCAATAGTAACAGGGTACCTGTGCGGGCAATAGTACCAGGTTACCTGTGCGGGAAATAGTAACAGGTTACCTGTGCGGGCAATAGTAACAGGTTACCTGTCTATTTTACTGTTTACATGATGGCAGTATAACACATCTTTAAATATATTATACCAGAAAAAGTGTTGGCTGTAAATCGAATATTCTTCTGGAAACAGAGGCAGTAAAACAGTTTGGTGTAACAGTATGAAATGGTGACAGTAAGGTTTTACTGTATATGCTGTTACAGTATATATGATGACAGTAAGGTTTTACTGTATATGCTGGTACAGTACTAATGGTGACAGTAAGGTTTTACTGTATATGCTGTTACAGTCCTTATGATGACAGTAAGGTTTTACTGTATAGGCTGTTACAGTATAAATGATAACAGTAAGGTATTACTGTATATGCTGTTACAGTATAAATGATGACAGAAAGGTTTTACTGTATATGCTGTTACAGTACTAATGGTGACAGTAAGGTTTTACTGTATATGCTGTTGCAGTATAAATGATGACAGTAAGGTTTTACTGTATATGCTGTTAAAGTATAAATGATGACAGTAAGGTTTTACTGTATATGCTGTCCCAGTATAAATGGTGACAGTAAGGTTTTACTGTATATGCTGTTAAAGTACTAATGGTGACAGTAAGGTTTTACTGTATATGCTGTTGCAGTATAAATGATGACAGTAAGGTTTTACTGTATATGCTGTTACAGTACTTATGATGACAGTAAGGTTTTACTGTATAGGCTGTTACAGTATAAATGATGACAGTAAGGTATTACTGTATATGCTGTTACAGTATAAATGATGACAGTAAGGTTTTACTGTATATGCTGTGCCAGTATAAATGGTGACAGTAAGGTTTTACTGTATATGCTGTTAAAGTACTAATGGTGACAGTAAGGTTTTACTGTATATGCTGTCACAGTTTATATGATGACAGTAAGGTTTTACTGTATAGGCTGTGACAGTATATGTGATGACAGTAAGGTTTTACTGTATATGCTGTTCCAGTCTATATGATGACAGTAAGGTTTTACTGTATATGCTGTGCCAGTATAAATGGTGACAGTAAGGTTTTACTGTATATGCTGTTACAGTTTATATGATGACAGTAAGGTTTTACTGTATAGGCTGTTACAGTATAAATGGTGACAGTAAGGTTATTCTGTATATGCTGTTACAGTACTTATGATGGCAGTAAGGTTTTACTGTATATGCTGTTACAGTACTAATGGTGACAGTAAGGTTTTACTGTATATGCCGTTACAGTACTAATGGTGACAGTAAGGTATTACTGTATATGATGTTACAGTACTAATGGTGACAGTAAGGTATTACTGTATATGCTGTTTACAGTATAAATGATGACAGTAAGGTTTTACTGTATAGGCTGTTACAGTACTAATGGTGACAGTAAGGTATTACTGTATATGCTGTTTACAGTATAAATGATGACAGTAAGTTTTTACTGTATAGGCTGTTACAGTACTAATGGTGACAGTAAGGTTTTACTGTATATGCTGTTACAGTACTTATGATGACAGTAAGGTTTTACACCCAACTGCTTCCTGAAACCAGTTCACTGCTTTATAAACCCTCAGAATCATTGGATTTAAAATAGATTTTTTCTGTTAGAAAGGCCAAAAGTTTTTTTTAATTGTCATCCTTTTTACTTTCAGCCATTATTTTGTACTTGGTGGCCACGAAAGATGACTTCATTCATCCAACTCTTGGACATATCATGATCAGGTGCTTTTTTCCCTGAAGATCTTTCTTAATGTAATTATATTGACCTTTTTCCATTATAAACCCAATTTTCATTTCAGTAATCCTTTCAATAACTTTAGTATGCTGTCTAATAGCTGCACTCTCCATTTTAGACCAAAATAATTTTAATGCATTTACCTCCCTTGGGCGAATTCTCCTGTCTAATACACAGTAATTTAAAGATCCAACATACAATATATATATAAAAATTCTATATGGAGTGCCTGTTGTTTATCATAATTACCTGACTGGAATTGGTTAATTTTCAAATTTAAAAAAAAAAAAAACTTTAGTAAGATGAATCCAGGAGTTTTGACCAATAAATTGACAGACAGGTTGATCAACATTTATGTTGAACCATATCACATCGGCCATTAATTATATAAATGGAGGATGAAAAACAGGCAATTGTGATAGAATTATATCATAAAATTCAGCACCCTCTTCACGGAGAATTCTGTAGTGTTGACTCCACAGTTTCAATTAAATGAAACTCACAGGCTTGCAGGAGAATGGTTATTTATGCCACAAATTATATATTTAATTGAAACACAATAAACAAAACACAAAAACAAGGAATTATTATTACAACAGTTTATTTCTCTGGAATTTTACTCAAAATATGTGACAATCTCGTATTAAAATTCCCTAAATTCAAAAGAACTAAGCTCCAAGCTTGGCGACAATCTCTCTCCATTCATCTCTCATACAAACATTTAATACTGACAATTATTCCTGCCTCCTCCTGACCAATAGGCCGTGCCCATCACTCACAGCCACGCCCATTGGCCACACCCATCTCAGTTTTATCCCACACACATTCATGCATACCATACATTATCAAGTTTTGGTGAAATTGCCAGTGATTGTCCTTATTGTTTAAAAGTAAAATAATTAACATCGTAATATACAATGGTTGACAGATTACCTTCATCTCAAAAAAGGTGTAAAAATTGCAGGTTTAAAATCAAAATGTTGTATAAAATATCAGGTTAAAATTTGTTTCTCCTTCAAAAGAGTGAAAATGGAAAGGAAATAGGTTAAAAAGCATTGGAGATAAAATCATACAATTTTAAAAAAGACAAAATTATAATTCCAGTAGGAAAAAAAAAAAAGAAAAAAAAAAAGGGAATTTCTCCTTACGAAATTGAGTTTTGCACCAGTAGCACTTGGAAAACAGATCATTTGATAGAATGTTCAAACAACTTACTTCTGAATTCAAATCAAAACAAATTACAAGAAAGCACTTATAAAAAGTTAATTTCAAATTGTTCAAATAAACAGGAAACATGAGCACTTAATCATAGATTTTGTTTGAAATATCATAATTTCATGAACTTTTCAATTTGTACACTTGCTGAAATTGTTTTGAAGTAGTCTTTATTTCGGCCCTTGGTTGTGTTTAGAAAGTTAACAGGAGCCATGTTGATCTATATAATACCTATAATCAATTCTATGAACTTGAATACAAGCCTGGTAATACTGTACATTGTCTTAACAACGCTCCTTAGCAAGAAAAGGTAACACCGCACATGCAATACAAATCAAAACATATTCCTCGAACTCTTTGATGCCATCCAAGCATTTCACGTTACAGTCCCACAGTAGATAAACAATGGAAACTGCAACATATTCTACCGTTTCTTCAGAAAATATTATAAAGTGTGGTTTGTGAGAAGATTTTGTTAGTGTGATTTCTTTCAACATGTTAACATGACATGATAGAAAAGGACAATATAAAAATTTCATTCTGATAATAATCCATTTAAAAGGATAATGTTTATTAAGTACAGAAATGAAAAACTACGGAAGAAAAAAAGTTGATCTCATTATCGTCAGTATTGTTCAAAACCCACCAAAATTATGACGACAAGACTTCATCCAGTTATACATACAATATTATGCTTCAAAAGTCAATCCCAGCCAGTATTCCTTACCAAAAAAGCAGGGGGAAATGCCAAGTTCGTATCATGAACAAAATCATTATTTCTAGCAACAAAGAAAATAAACCAGAAAAAAACCAGAATTAAATATAATTCACGAAACAAAATGTCAAAAATCACACCGATATTTTATTGCTTTAGATATACAGCAATTCAGCTTGGCTTTCAACCACATCAGACATTACAAATCAAACAAATCAAGGTTTTCATCATACAATAAAACCCTGCTGTCATTTTTGCTCCGTTTCTCACTCGCACGCTCTCTCGACACCAAGCACCGACCCACACATCTCACGTTCTACTATACACAGTGTAATGCACCAAATCCTCCTGTCCAACATGCACCATTAATACGACCATTCTTTCCCAAATGGCATTTTACAACAAAAAAAATGTATGAGGTAACTTTAAAGCTCAAATCTGATTGGCCAATTTTGGTCATGTATGTATCTATATAGTTCTTCAGCAGAAAATCACAACTGTCGTCTGCTGACCTTAAGACACTCATGAGAATGGCATCTCAATGACCTTGGGAAACCATCCCACTGACCCTGCAGGTCCACATTTGACCTTGTGACTTTGCTGAAAATAATGAGTGTCGGCAAAGGCAAACAGGAAAAGTTGCCTGCCCTGGAAAAGTTTGTCCCATTGACGCCCATTGGCACCGCCAATTGGTGCCCGAGACGTTTGCGTATATATATCGGATGAGCTTTCTGACGATCTCCCCAGCCTTGCTACTCCTCCACAGATCATATTTAATACTGACACAGACGTTGATTACTTCTTATAACAAATATTGTGACGCTACTACAGAACATCTCAATACTTATAAAAAAAAACATATTCATATTTATAATATAATATAATAATAATAATTAAATGAGGAGGCGCAAAACTGGGGAAGGTGATCTCAGAAAATACATAAATCAATTGTAGATCTAGAAAAAAATTGAAATATATTTTTTTTTTTAAATTTATAAGTGGAATGCTTGCAAAAAAACACATCTATGTGTGATCGTTACTATTAGTACGACCCTGGCAGTACGAGGTATTTCAAAAGTGTGACCACTCTATCCGACTTGTTAAAAACTACACGACACTTGTGAGAGTCCCATAAATACTAATACTTGAACAAGTCTCATGTGGCTACCGTCCTGAACAGGATAATACTATCAGCATCTTTGTGTTTATTTTCCCCAATCCCCATACAGATAACATGGAACATCTAAAAGACTAGTATATCATAAGTTCGACCTGAGGCAAGTTGGCCCTTTGTACTCCCTCCCTGTCCAGATGACCAGCCCAATCACTGGCTGGTCAGACCAATCGCAACTGTCCGTCCATCCTCCTCTACAAGGATGAGATACTGACTAGCTTATTGCTGATTTGACCAGGTGTAGACCATCGTTTGGCTTGTAGCGCGTTTTCCTTATGCTCACAATAACACTTGACAGATTACTGTCGCACAATCCCTGGAATTATATCCCCGTTCCCGGACCTGGTCCGATTCTTTTTTTGTCTTTCTGTTCGTCTCTTCCAATCACCACAGCCAATCACCATATCACCGACACGAGTAGTTCACAACTACCAATATTTTACACTGGCCTACACCCTAGTCAAACCTCAGGGCCACGCTCCAACGCACACAAGTTTGTCCTTGTTGTCTTGACAACCACAATACAACGGTGTATGGCGACAGGAATGCTCGCCATCCATGACGCACAAGTCTGCACACTATGGCGCCACCTACCCTGCGTGTATATCCTGTATATGTCCACCCATGCTTTCCATGCTGCTGTGTAGAGGAGGGCTCTGGGCCGAGCCCATGGACATGCCATGCGGGCTCATTCCCGGGGCTCCGTGGCCCATCATCATATGATGCGGATGTCCGGGGATTAGCATAGCCTGTGAATGTACAGGGGGACGCAACTGTGACATTTGTGAATAGGAGCTACTTCCAGTGACAGGGGGTGCTCCGTACATGTCTCCACTGTGCATGCCCTGGACACCCAACATATCGTAGCGCTGCGAGCTGTCCATGTGAGGATACCCTGCTTTCATAGGGTCATACATTTCACTACCAGGTCTGCCTTGGAGCACTGCAGGGAACAACGGAAAAAAATGTTAGGTACGAAATATACGGACATCAACAATAAAAAATCCAAACAATCGTTGTTGTCAGCAGTATCATAGAGGGAAGCCAATCAACTCAATTTATCAGGACCCCAAACTAGCACAATCTCACTTCCTAGTATCGGAGCACTTCTATTTCTACAGTTTGGTTGAGGAGAATGCTCTAATATAGGTATTGATGACAATATCATTATAAAATAATATTTAATACACAATGAATTGGAAAAATGTTTGGTCGTATGAAAGTAAATCAACAGATGAGTGAATTAACTTTTGCACAAAATTCAAATATCAAGCAAGCTTTGCACTGTACACTCTCTAGAAATAACAATCTTGTGACATTCTTTACTGTTGCTTGTGAATAATAACCCAATATTTTCTCACCTGTGTTGCTTTGACAGATTTTATTGATATTTTTCCCAATTTAATTCTATTTGTAATTTTTACAATGCACATGTTCCCATCATATCACCAAAATCATGCACTAACCTGTATTATTACCTCTCATTATTTCTACGACAATATTTATACACCAAGAGAACCTAGATATATTAATGATGTCATATAGATTCATCCTCAATGAAAACTACCACCTATTACCCTTTCAATAAATAAATGCTGTTGAAAATTCAAATGTGGTGGTGTTTTTTTTGGTCCCATTCCAGATGAAAATAAAACATTTTCCACATATATAGATTGTGCTGTACTTGGGAGGCAGTTAAAGAGATATTGTATTGGGCCGGCATATAGGCAATCAATAGATTGTGTTCAGATATGCAGATTGTTTTTATACATAACCACACAGCCAAAGCACTCGGCAATTAAACTTTTGCATGTTTTTACAATTTTTAGGTTAAAGCAAAATAGAGAACTTACTATGTGGCCCCATGTGGGCCATGGGCTGATTGTCGGGCCAGCCCATGCTACCATCCGGACTGTAACCATGACTACCGGGGGCTGCAAGCAAACAAAATAACATTATATCCTGTGCGTTTCTAACTCACAATGCAATTTAAATACTTATAGGCACATGTGTATCCCTGAATGCATTTGCTAGGTCCCGCAGGCGAGATTTTCGTTTTATTCCACCATTTAAATACTTATACAGGTGTCTGCCTTCGCGAGTCCTGGGTAATTTGGAATGCATTTGAAAGTTAAAAACTTTTAAGCGGCATCGACATATAAATGGTGTGCCAAGACGATGCCATGCGAGTATTTCGAGTTTTTACACGTTTACGTTCTCTTGTCAGGGAGAGGGGGTCTAAATATATCCCACTAAACATCACAAACTCATCAATGTACCCAATTCATGGCAACAATTCCGAGATATATCCTTTTTATGATTGCCAAATGAGGACCGCGGAGGGTCCAATCATAAACCAAAATTTTGAAGCGAATCCCAAGCAGAAATGAGAATATTTTTGTAAGCGCTGCCCTCCACGAGTCCCCGGCTTATAATGGGGATTCAATAAAAAGCTAGTTTTTGCCCCTTAGGAGTCTGGTGTTACTGTCAGCAGATAATGAGTCTAAAAGAAATGCAATTTGTAAAAGAGCTATACCACCTAAGATAGAGTCTACCTCTATTAGCTTCCCCTGGACCACTTGCCGTGAGTTAATTACGAGCGCCGTGTAGATAAATACTAAATTGATGTTGATATATGCCAATTCAATGTTAAATAGGCTTTTTAAAACATATCATATGTACCGGCATATTTGGGTCAATCAAAAGCTGGGCCACAAAGTAAAGTACAGCCTCGCATTCCCTAAATCCCACTTTGTGGTGAGTGACTGGGGGCGTCGATATCATCACACACACAGGTTAATGGAGATGTGATTACCCAGAAATTTAATATTTACTCAACTAAAAACTTAACGTGAAAAGATTTCCCTTGGTTGCCGTTACAGTCTGATTTCCCAAACGTTTCCCGACAGAGTGCGTTCTTAAGGCATAACTGTGACTTATCTGTAACTTCTATTTATACATATATATCATAGCTGTTCATTTCGCCTAAATACTTCCACGCACAGGATATTAAAACAGCGCAAAAGATTCATGTACGGAACACACACCGTTTCACTTTCAACTCTTCGACAGAAACCCCTTGATAATCTATGAAGGTACTTCCAATATGAAAATTTGCCTCATTAAAGTACAACACTGCACACAATACCCAATGTTGAAATGTCATGTGAATTTTGAAAGTGATTTCGATGGAATTTTTTCCTTCAAGTTTTACTCTGCATTACACATAGTGGAAGTTGTTAGTTATGACAGGAAGGGTGCTTTAGGTACCGGCTCCCCACAGTAATTACCGAGTCTGCTGGCAAATTGCTCCTAACGACTCTTATATATTGATGAATTTGGCAAGGAAAACTGTAAATGAGGTTAATTTCATTAGCCATAAACCCTTCCCATCATCCTCTCTTACTTTGATGCCAATTGCAAAGAAAATTTGTCTCAATATAACACATACAACACCGTGGACGACACATACAACACCGTGGACGACAGTGCTAGTGAGTGTGCTAAGAGCGTGTGTCAAAAACAGTCACAAACATGGCTTTACTTGAACACGCCATGTCAAAGCTTGCACGTCAAACACGCCACTCTAGACAAGGTCATGTGACACTCACCATCATAGTACAGGTGAGAGATAATACAAAAACCTCGTTACCACAGGTGACAGGTATAAATACTGTTGACAAATGCATCGGGAATGACCGTAAACTTGTTTCAAGCTATTGGGTTGTTCAAACTTGCCTGGTATCGTTTAGAAAGGTCCAGAAGTAGATTTTATACAACATTTTCACCATTACTGAAATGTCATTCAGGTGCAATATATTCTAATGGTGTTCATACTACACTTTACATTATAATTTGTGAACTTTAATTGTTAATGATCTGTACAAAAATCTCAAGTTTGCCAGATATTTGGGGGTTTGTGTCTGTGTTATGTTAAACAACCAATAATGTTGTCTCTGTACATTACAAGATGAAATGTCAATTAGTAATACAATCATGATCCTTCACCTTTTTTAACATATGATAACCATGAACAACCTACCTGCTCGATTTGATTGGTCGATCATGGGCTGAACAATTCTTCGTCTTGCATTAATAAACCTGTAAGAAAACAAACAGAATTTGTTTCATTCATCATAAAAGATTCTTATTTGTCAAATTAATTACACAGGAAGATGTTTTATACAAGTACTTAACCTTTGGAAAACATTCTTACTGACATTTGGACTTGTGGAGGTGTGTGCAAGTTGTCTGGACGGATCCAGCATGGCTCCGGTTAGTTTTTGATGGTGTGTGATGATGATGTTTATTAGTGGGTATTTCTGACGGAGGGAAATGAGGGTTAAAGGTTTGATGGGGTACTTGGTGTATGTTTAACTGTGGAGAACCGTGGAAGGACAGTGACTTGGTGTGGACAAACTGTCAAGATTTGAGATCCCCAATGATTAATTGCTGATGATCTGGAAAGGTGCCAGTACACCAGTCTCTCCAGCCTTCATAATTTGCCAAGGTTTCGACTTGAACAGACGACTGCTCATTAGTAGCGAAATTTCCAACCTTTCCATCTCCACATCGAACGCCTGTAAATTGCAACCCTATCCAACCCGAGAGTTCTAAAGACCAAATCGGACTACCCGAGCCCACGTACCAGCTTCAAATTAAAGATGTAGTTTGAAAAAATGATAAATGATGCTAGACAAGTTGACTTGATCTGGAGGATTCTCTGTTAGCCTCTTCTACCCCAAATTACATCCTTTCTCTCATTAGCGGCCATTGCGAGATTGGGTTACAAGTTGATGACGCTTTCTGCTTCCGTACTTCATTTAATAAGTAACCAAGCTGGCACACTCAGCAGCTGTACAAGGATCCCTTATTGAATGAGAGCATAAGAAAAACCGTGTAATGTGGCCAATAACAGCTCTGTACACCGTCCTACTATAACCCAAACCTCACTTTCAACCCCAGCCCCACAAATAGTTTGACAGAAAATTCATCTCAGCTGTCTGCTGAAATTCTCATTTAATCAACATTACCGCACCACTGACCAGTAGGGAAGCTAAGGGATGGGGGTTAAGGGGGTTAAAGAGATGGGATTGAGAAGGTGAAGCAGGGGCAGGGCCTGTTGTAGGGTTGGGTAGGGTGGAGTAGAAGGGGTAGGGGACCTAAAGTTGGGTAGGGAGGGGAAAGGAAAACCCTAGGAGATAGGAAGTTAGGGTAGGGAGGGGTAAGAAAGGGGGAGCAAATAAAAAAGAAATAAAGTCCTCCTCCTTCTATTCTTGTCAAGGACTTCTCCTCAAACCATCACTCCCACACATGAAGGTAGTTAGCATCACTCGCTCGTTTGGCCCCATCTCGCAAACCTAACATGCTCAATCACGCTGTAAGTCTTACCATGATTTACTTTGAAAAGATAATACATATGTTCTTATAAACACGATGTTGTATTTCCCTAAATAGTTGTATCAGAGATCAAAGCCAACCCAGTGAAGTGTCTTAAATTACTCAAATTGCAGGAAAGAAACGGTGCCTCCTTTGAAGGTTGGGGAGTTTGGGCTTAATTTAATTACATCAGAGATGGCAGGCGTGATGTAGGTTTATGTGTGACTACACAGCAGGGATACACTTAGCCGAGCCCTCTCGAACCCCCCCATCAAAGCCTTAGTGAGATTTATAGCCACCCCTCTTCAAATCATGCAGTTTTTATATAAATCTGAAAAATTAATCATGATAATTTCAGACTTGCCGAGGGTATATGAAGGACAATGCAATTGAAATTGAAAGTAAAACATAAATAAATCGTAATATGCCCCACCTGGGGAGGAAACTTGGTCGGAGGTAGATGGATCTCGCTTACACTTATCATGGAGTAATCGTGTTGCCTATCATACACAGCAACAATAAATACCTACATCTAAAATCAATTTGAAAAATGACGGCCTAATTATCAGCCGCGGATATTAAGAAGATATCAAAACCGGGTAATGGATATTGGCTGCCATTTGGGCTACCAAACAAGTGTCAAAACCCTCCGTATGTCTGCTAATGCATTCTGTCAAGATCAGGGCCTCTTCTGTGGCGGGTTTCTCATCTATACTTAGTAATGACAGAACTATCGCACTTCAAAAATGACTTCATCAAAAACTGTCCGACAAATCGCTGGTCTGCCCAGTGACAGCCATAGATGTGGAACTCTTCTGTTAATGGAGGCTTAATTAATGCTGCGTTACTGGTGAAACCTTAAGACGTTGGCTGGTGACGGATATCCAACAGATGAGGGGAGAGATTCCTTCTCCAGGGATCCGTCCATGTCACTGTAATGTGCGATAATTCTTAGGTTTTGTTTTAATGACTCGAACAGACGGGCATTATCCCTCAATGTATGAATTATTTAAGATTTCTTGCGGAGGAAATGTGTTGGTGGACCGTCCTTGTGTGGCCGATCTAATCGCTGATGTATCAACTAATACCATAGCTGGTAAATCCTTATAATGTTGGTCAGAAACCCACCGCCGAATGCTCTCCGTTAATGCAAACATCCAAAAATGGAGAAAATTTCAAAGCCAGGTTTGGTATAATTTCCTTCATCAATTAGTCTGCAAAACAACAGACATTTATTTCCTTCATTTTTAATTACATTTTTTAGGAAAACAGTGAAGTTCTTGGGGCGAGTGATCCTGAACATGAGCGCCATTTCCTGCGACCTTTCCTGTCAGTGCGCACTAACGGTCGGTAAAGCCCACTTTATTAATGGGCAATACAAATCCAACTGACCAGATCAGATGACCACTCCGACCATTTATCTTCATATAGTTTAATGCCTGGGAGGCAAACACTTCCGTCACCATAAATAAGAATAAACACTCGCTAATCAACCAAAATTTTGACATGTGTGAATCTTCTACCACAGGACAAGTTGTCCTCATCATTGCACTTTGTCTCCATCTTCAAGTTGATATGCATTTTGAGTGAATTTTCTATTTCTATTTTCAAGCTTTTTTATAACAATAGGTATAAAAAACTTTTTTATCCAATGATATGATGTAGCATTCGGTTTGTTCGAAATGTGAATGAATATGCTGTAAAGCGTAGATACATGTATTTTTTTGTGTGTACATATATGAAATCAGAAGGTTGACACTTAAAATTCCATTTCTTCTCTGATCAAAGGTAGGTAATACGTCAAATTAAAAACATAAAATTCAAATTGCGCTGAGCGTATGTGATGTAAATGGGAATACTGTAAGTGAGCTGTGTGTTGGCGATGATAAACAGCTGCCTAGGAAACGTATATCGCTACAGCTTCTCCTGTTTTTACACAGGGGCAGCTAAATGCCCAATTTATAGGGATCTTGGCACCACATATGTACAGAGAGTTTGAAAGTTTTATAATGAGATGTCGGATATATTTTCTCCACTTCGCTCCAGTTTCCCTACAGACAGACACAATTCATTAGAGTTTCTAGCACGACTTGACTATTTTAAAGCTCCAGTTTACCACAAAGAGCAGATGTTGGTTTTTAATCCCCTACATGTCTGCAGTGTGAAGGACAAAAACTAAATAATCAGCCACTCTTTCCCCCCCTCCCGATCGAATACCATCCCACCTCCATTTCCCCTCCGCGTTAACTTGATTGGTAGGTGGATTAAATAGAATCCCTTTTTGATAAAGACAATGCCGACATTCAACTTCTTTCCTTAACTGTCCAGAAATTCACCGACTTGGCGGTCGTTAGCGTAAGCCAGATAAAGCAATCTTAATATGCAGAGTTTTGTCAGCTGACAAAAAAAGTGTCAAAATTTTGATGAATGATTTTAACAGTATTGACAAAGTTGAAATACAGATTTTTTTCCTTGACCGTAGAAAAATGTGACAGAAATGTGCTGGTTTCCTAACAGAATGACTTAATATACAGTGTTAATAAAACTGTATAAAGTCGGCGAACTTTTTATAATAAATAAACCTTTTTTCTCTCCGGATTGTTGTGAAAACTATTCCCGGAGTAAAAATGAATGTTAGATACCTATTAATAACAGGATATATACCATTATAAAGACAAATTTGTAACCACATATTTTCCCACCTTGCCTGCTAAAAAATGTGTGCCAACCTGATAGGTAGTGTGCTGTAGCCAGCGGTATTGTCAGGTCTGTTTTTGTCTGGGTATAATCGAGGCAGTGTATGTATGAGTGGGGTATATATGTAATGTGACCCCCGTGTCAGCTCCACAATCGAGGGTAAGTATGATGGCCGGGTGTAGGGTGACAGTAGACAACGTTTCTACTATGGGTGGCAGCCATTTGCTTCCGCTACGTTAACTACGGTGCCCTGGAGGTTATTTTCAGTGACCTTTCTTGTTGTCTTTCCTTCAAATTCACACAAAAGCCTTGCCGAATGCTGCAGATAAGACAGGCAAGTCTTCCAGCTGATTGGAGAAGTCGTGACCAGGTCTTCTAGCGAAACATCTGACCTGTACCCCTATTGAATCGACACTTGTGTTGAATACCTGTAATGAGTTAACTATTTGTCCCCCTGTCAACATAAGGATCTACCCGGACATGGAGGCCATTTCTCTTAAACCAGAATGAATGTGTCATGGTTAGAGATGGTTAGAGACCTATTGCACAATTTAACTTATTTACCCCTGAAACTTCAAAATGAACTATTCCAACCATTGAATTGGATGAGTTAAAATGTGTCTTAAGGGGTGAATGAGTTAATCAGCGTTTCAAAACACCTTCCCATCACCGATATGATCAGTCAAATTACGTAAATTACAACATAATTTCACATCTCTGGGTGTTTTTTTTGGTAAGTTATTGATATTGGTTTGTCGACGGGGGAAAAGGGCGTCTTGACGACAACGACTTGGTGTCTTGTCGATACAGGAATGACGGTGGGCGACAGTTATTAGTGTGATTTGCGATGCTTGCCTCCGTAACAATCACCTGCATCCTCATTGCTGTCGTGCATTACGGTACATAGCTTCAGTGTCACTGCACTGTGTCCCAGTACTTAATCACGCTATAGTACTTGGTTATCGTAATTCATGGCCTTGTTGTGTGCTTTCTCTGTTACACTGCTGCAGATATACATCATAATA